CCCCCCTACCCCCCCCCCCCCCACCCCCCCCTCCCCCCCCCCCCCCCCCCCCCCCCCCACCCCCCCCCCCCCCCCAACAAATATATAATATAATCTTTAAAAAGGCTTTTCTTAAAAGAAAATTACAAAAAAAAAATATTAAAATAAAACTGCATTTTTTAAAACAAAAAGAAATTTGCTAAGGTTGCTGCAGATTGTGAGGCCCTAAGAGTACAGCTTATTTTGGTTTTATCCACGTCCGGCACTGATGTGGTGTATCAAATATTTCGGCCCCAAACGTACTTCTTAGATATTTTACCCAACCCCCGATTTTAGATATTCCACTCCAGCCCTGCTTTAGGTATTTCACTCCATCCCTGCTTTAGGTATTTCACTCCATCACTGCTTTAGGTATTTCACTCCATCTCTGCTTTAGGTATTTCACTCCATCTCTGCTTTAAGTATTTCACTCCATCTCTGCTTTAAGTATTTCACTCCATCTCTGCTTTAAGTATTTCACTCCATCCCTGCTTTAGGTATTTCACTCCATCTCTGCTTTAAGTATTTCACTCCATCTCTGCTTTAGGTATTTCACTCCATCTCTGCTTTAGGTATTTCACTCCAGCCCTGCTTTAGGTATTTCACTCCACCCCTGCATGAGGTATTTCACTCCATCTCTGCTTTAGGTATTTCACACCATCCCTGCTTTAGGTATTTCACTCCATCCCTGCTTTAGGTATTTCACTCCATCCCTGCTTTAGGTATTTCACTCCATCCCTGCTTTAGGTATTTCACTATTACGCCATATCTTGGTAGACGGTCCACGCCCCACAGATTGAGAATCCTTGGGCTGTGTATAAATGAGCATCCGTTTCTTATTTTAGCGTGTTAAAAAAATTAGGTTGTGGGATGTAGAACTTGTTTAGAAATTAGACCGTAAAGATTCATGAAGATGAATGTAAACCGACATACTTAGTCAGATAGTAGAACATTTACTTTGTTTCTTTTAATGACAGTCCCTGTCTGAGTTGAGGGGGTCCACGGTGTTTGGTAAAGGAAGGGGTGGGGGGGGGGGGTGAGGGGGAGGCAGAACCATTGCCTCATAACAAATGTTACCTAAAACTTCACCCATACAGTTTTTTCCCCTCCTGAAATTGGAAGTGTTGGGACAAAAGAGGACGATATCGCAGTCAGGCTGTAAATCCCAACTCAGTGGATGTACCGTGCTTTTAATAGGAACTACTACTACTACTACAAATACTCTTGTTACTGTTCCTGTTGTTGCTGCTGCTGCTACTACTACTACTTCTACTAGTACTACTATTTCTTCTTTCACTATTCTTTATCAGCCAATGGGGCCCTACTATCCTTTCTTCTTCTTCTTCTTCTTCTTCTTCTTCTTCTTCTTCTTCTTCTTCTTCTTCTTCTTCTTCTTCTTCTTCTTCTTCTTCTTCGTCTTCTTCTTCTTCTTCTTCTTCTTCTTCTGCTTTTTCTTCTGCTTCTTCCTCTTCTTTTTTTTTTCTTTTTCTTTTTCTTCTTCTTCTTCTTCTTCTTCTTCTGCTTTTTCTTCTGCTTCTTCCTCTTCTTCTTCCTCTTCTTTTTTTCTCTTTTTCTGTTTCTTCTTCTTCTTCTTCTTCTTCTTCTTCTTCTTCTTCTTCTTCTTCTTCTTCTTCTTCTTCTTCTTCTTCTTCTTCTTCTTCTTCTTCTTCCCCTTCTTTTTCTTCTTTGATCACTCAAAAAACTTTTATAAGGGTGCTAGTAGCCTTTTTGTAAGCTATCCTAAGTCAATATATCTTTGACGGAGATAATGGGGATCGTCGCCAGAACTGCAGTGTTCGTGTTGTGTGTGACGATCTCAGCGGATGGCCAGCCTTTCTGAGGGGAGAGACCGAGCCATATGGAATACAACATGGTGCAATGCAGGCGATCCTCTCATTGTTTTCCTCAAACTGCCCTATGCTGCGTCAGAAGTCTAGAACAAATTGTAACAACTGTGCAGATTTATAGTAAAAGAAATAGAGGAAGACAATGTGACACGATTCTTGGCATTCTTTTATTATGGAATATTAACGGTGTTAAAACTGGTCGTGAATCCTTTACAGGTCGTTGCAGAATTGACCCCATCATGTTTTGTCTGTTGTGATTTTTCTAGGCAAAATTTACGTCAGTAGTTTGCCATGGCTTCTGAAAAGTCAGTTCTCGGTACCACTGTAGAAACAAACACAAGACCAACCGTCTGCAGCTGGGTTCGAACCAGCCACCACGGCATTACGAAGCGATATCGCAACGCCTAAGCCACAGACGCCGACTGAATGATTAGGTACATGAAGTAATACGTGTTGCCATGGACCGTGTTGTGTGGAAAGGGCATATCAGGAAGAGAATGAGATTGAAGGAAGAAATGACTGAAGGAAGAAATGACTGAAGGAAGAAATGACTGCAGGAAGAAATGACTGCAGGAAGAAATGACTGCAGGAAGAAATGACTGAAGGAAGAAATGACTGAAGGAAGAAATGACTGCAGGAAGAAATGACTGAAGGAAGAAATGACTGAAGGAAGAAATGACTGAAGGAAGAAATGGCTGAAGGAAGAAATGACTGCAGGAAGAAATGA